AACAACTGCTCGGCGAAAGGAAACTGCTACCCTCGACAGGTACCTGTCTACGGATCCTCCTTGTTAATCTCAACCCTCGTCCTCCGTGCCTGGCCAACAAGACCAGACATTCAACACTGCTTCATCCTCCTCATCCTTCAACCCCATCACGCTAGTCCTCGTCACCGAGTTGTCTCGCTGTTGCTTCTGCTCTCCATCGCTATCCCTTTCAAGGTCTGACGCTCCTCTAGGACCCTGGCTCCACTGGCATCAATGAGCCGCTGAGGGGCAAAGGGCCCGAGTGTGACTGCAAGAATCCTTATTGGGACATCGACTGCTCGAGAGCTCAGGTGAAAAATCTCCTCCTCCTTGATAAAGCTCACAGTCCTCCTCCTTCCTCCTCCTCCTCTCTCTCTCTCTCTCTCTCTCTCTCTCTCTCTCTCTCTCTCTCTCTCTCTCTCTCTCTCTCTCTCTCTCTCTCCCTCCCTTCCTTTCCCATTCTCCCTCCTCGTTCTCTGCTCCCCTCCTACTGACTGCATCCCCCCACTGCCTTCCAATCCTCGTCCTCACTCTTTCCATGACTTCTCACCTCCTCTTCTTTCTCTTCCTCCTCCCTCTTACTTGTCTTCAGTGGTTGGCTACCGCCATCGTCCCTGCCATCGGCATCACCATCATGTCGGCTACAGGAACGTTCCTTTAGCATCTCCTGCGACCCTAATGGGGTGTCTTCAGGCTACACACATCCTCCCGCTGCCGCTTGTGCCACCGTCTACATTTCAGACAAGGGGTCTGTGGACCATTCTCTCGTCTTCCTCTTGCTCCTCCCGCCGCCTCCGACTCTCCGTCGCTCTTATCTCTTGCGTCCTTGTTATCTTTCCTTGTTATCCAACATTGTTATCCATCCTTGTTATCCAACGTTGTTATCTATCATTGTTGTTCATCATTGTTATTCATCCTACCTCCTCTTTCTTCCCTCTCTCTTCTTGACTTCTCGTCTTGTGACGACGAGGGCAGAGGCATCGTCAAGAATCTCCACTGGGGCTTCATCCTCTTTCCCGTCCTCTTCGACTGCATGGTAAGCATGGCGGGAAATTTGAAGACGCTGACCCAACGGCAGGTCATCGTTGTCTTGGGCGTACTCTTCAACAACGCTATCCCTTCCCGCCAGTATCCTCTGCTATGGCGCTTCAGCATGTCCTCGCTCCTGGTGAAGCCCCACCTTGAACCTTTTGTGTTGTGCTCGCGAGCTCTCAGTCGCTCTTCCTCCCTTCCCCCTCTCATCTGCCCTCCTGCGTTTCCTCACGTTGCTCCAGATTATCAGTGCGCTCAGTGGACTTGCGTACATAGTGCGACTGTGACATCTTTGTCTTCACTGTGTAATTACAAGAAAAAATACATGAGCACGACAACAAGCCTGTTGGCACACGCTCACTCAATGTTACCTAGACAAACTGACTAAGTTTGTTTTAACTGATCCAAGGGGCTGCCCGTCAACCATCACCAGCACTCCCCTCATGACCGACTCGGGGCGAGTCCTCCTTGCTCCCAGAGCCTTTTAAAGTGAACTACCACCTCCACATTGTTCACCGATATTCCAAATCCCTTCGTGAATCGCTTCATATCTCAAAGCTCTCCAGCAGCTTCAGCTTCGTGTCCAGCTCTAGAGTCTGAGGCGGGAACATCTCGTCAACGTGCACTGGGTGCAGCATCGACGAATCGATGTCCATCCACTTGCTCGTCTCCACGTTCCAGCTTGGCAGAGCCTGCTCCTCGATCACGTCTTCGCACCTCTCCTGCTCTCCCAGCTTGTGGTTGACATTCCAGATGTCATGCTCATCATCTGTGCCTGGGGAGGCACAGTTTTCATCCAGTCGAGCAAGAGAATCGAAACTTTTGTAATCCTCGTTCAACACGCTGGATCCATTGCTCAGACTGTCTGGAGTGGATGTTGAGTTGGGACTGTCGCAGTCGTCAAGATCCGAGAACTCGTCGTTCTCATCGAGGTTCTCATCTCCAAAGTCATCCTCGTCCAGATGTCTGTCCCCCTCGTTCTCCTCTTCAAGGGGTTGTGAGCCTTCCTCCTCATTCGTCGTGTTCTGGCCTTCATTGTCCTTCAAGACATGCACTCCAGCAGAAGGAAGCTTCTTGTACACTTCAGCTCCGTCGTCCATCTGGATGACAAACTTCTTCATGCGGCAGAGGCTGCTCACAGCACCTTTGTACCATTTGCCGTCTTTCAGCCTCACTTCCACTCTGCATCCATCATAATACGGCTCTGGTGGGTCTTGGTTCTTGACATCTCCACTGGTCTGGTTCATCTTTGAAATACGCTTGGCACGCGGCTGTCCATTTTTCTTCCGGGCATCCCAACAGAAACCAAGAAGATCCAAACAGCGCTTCCTGTGCTCTGGCAATTCGCCCTTGTGCAGGAGAGCCCTTTGATTGCTGACCCAGGAACCGAGCGAGCCGTCGAAGAAAGGAGATTTCTGACTCTGCGATACCATCACATGTCCATGTTTCTGCTTGAACACCATCAGCTGCGCAATCCGCCGGCGCCATGTCACGTTGTCTATATCTCTGTTCCTGGAGCGCTTGGAGGAAGTGGACTCACCATTGGCTGCCACGCCAGAATCCTGAGCATTGTCATTTGGAGAGCATTTCTCTTTATCGTTTGCGTCCTTGCTTTTCCAGATGTCTTCGGTTTCCTCAGTGCCGGTGCCAAAAATGCTATCGAACGACATGCCCTCGGGATGACTGACACTGAAGTCCGACGCGTTAAGGTTCGGCGCCTTTCTTTGATTCCTCGGTGACTCAGCAGGCTCGGAGGAGCTGCAGGAGCCTACGGTCCTCCTTGAATTTATGGAGTGCGCCTGAAGGAGGTCATCAGTTGCAGTCAAACATCACACAGGGGCCCATACCTTTGCGCTCTCAGTATCGTCAGTGCTTTCCGAGCCGAGTGAACTCCCGTTGAAACTTTGCGCGGCCGAGTTATTTGCGATGGGAAACTCTTCATGCATGCATGAAGGGACCATCTCCCCTTCAAAGTCATTCGCTCTAGATGGGCAAAGGGATGATATCACACTCGAGAATGACATTTCGGGAACCGAGCGGTTGGTTGGTTTTCTGCGTTTCGAGCCAAGCGTCAGTGATGTGCGAACAAGGATCGATTCAAGATACCTGTTTGTCTCATCATTGGGAAGAGAAATGCCTGTGTTAGGCTCTACATTCCGATTCGCAAGGACTGTTTTCAGCTGGTCCTCCTCAGAAGGAATCGGGGAGTATCGGCAATCAGTCTCTGGCGACGAAGGCGACCAAACTTCTTGTTCATCAGGAGATCCAACTTCCTGCTTCTGATCATCGGCGAAGTCTTCCTCTGTAAGCTTCAAGTCATATGTCTGCTTGCTCCGCTTCGCCGGGGGAAGGCAGGCAGGCTGTCTCAACATTCTAGCTTTCCTTGCCAGATGAAGCTCAATCGAGGACACGAAAGATTTGACATTCAGTTTGTGTTGCAGGAAAATGTCAGTCATCTCTTCAATGGGGCTCGAAGAAGAGTAGAAAGTGGCGAGCCAGCTTCCTATCTTGCCCTCTTCAACGGGATCGAGGCAGCCCGGTACCAGCCAGCTGAACACCCATCTCCCCAAAGACTTCCTCACGCTCAGAAAGAAACTGGGAAAAGGCGGTTAGTAACTCCTCTAACACGCAGAAACAAAGACAGATCTCACCCTGGTGGAAGAGAAGGTTCCTGAGCATGAACGTCCAGGCGGTTCGACTTGCAAATACACTCACAATGGCAGAACTTCATTATCCTCTGTGGAGTGGCAAGCGATGTGTTGGAGGACTAGGGAGAAGGAGGTCTTCTCCAAGGTGGGCTTGCTCAAGCTGCGAGGTGGACAATTCCAATTCTGAGAGAATTTTCGATCCAAGACAGCTGCAAGTGCACTGAAGGCGGCTACTAAGCACGAAAAGTTCAACTAATTGCTTGAACCCTGCTCACGAAGGGTGGAAAGCAACAATCAATGATAGCCAGAAGAGAGATTCAGCTGCAAATCTCTTCAGAAAGGAAAGTTAAGGACTCGGAAAACGTGTACTGCGCTGTTCAAGACGAAATCGTGCGCAGAGGAGGCTGTAGAGAGGCAGCACGAGATCAGGGAGGAAGAAGTGAGAGGGAGGGGAAGGGGTGAAGGCCACCGACCTACTCAAAAGAGCACGGTGCAACAAAAGGAAGCGAGGGAAATCAGCAGAGAGAGATGAGAATCAGTGAGCAGGAGGAGAGGAGATTTTGGGAAGAGGAAGAATATAGTCCGCCAGCCTTTGCCATAGCACTGGGCAGGGAGCGAGGGGGGGGGGGGAGGGGGAGGAGGGTTGGACGAGAGGGAAGGGACAATAAGGGGGTGGGGGTACTATGTTCAACCCCACCGGTACTATCCCACCACATTGAAAACACCATGGTACCCTACCTATCGATAAAAAATTTATGGGATATTCAGGTAGGGGTTATCACCCCTACCTGAGCTGATTCACGGGAACCCACCATGTATACGGATTGGACCCTGAAAGGGTACTCCCTCGGCTATCCTACCAAAGACCACCCCCAGCTCCTGTCCTACCCCTGTGCAATTTCACTACCCACCGTGCGCAATCACCTAAGGTCCCCTCCGCTACCTCAACTATGACCCCTACCCCCTGTTTTGATTTGTCTACGAACATTCATAAGACCTGCAGGTTTACCCACAGATATATTTCCTAGATCACGGGAAAACCCCACCCTCACGACACAACACCAGTGTACCCCTACCCTTACTTCATTGGTACCCACCCCCTTTCTATCACCTGACCACCCCTCGAAGCGTAAGGAGCTTGCTAACTAAAGCTAATGCTAAACCACCCCCTACCCTACTCAAGAGTTTTTCACTCCCTGATCTTGTCTCCCCACCCTGCTAGAAGTGCCTACACCCCTCCTTGCTCCATCCCGCCCCCACCTTTCCTTTCACCACCCCCTTCTTTTCATAGAACCCCTCAAAACCTACCATCAAGCTCCCACCCTACAAACTTGTACCCCACCTGGTGCTCAATGGCATTTTAAAACACCCCCACCCCTGCGTGTTGCCTCATCCAGCAAAGTAAAGTGTTGGATCGAATCCAAACAAAGAAGTACCTACCATACCTTTAGAGACATTTAAATTATACAAATGAGGGGTAAAGAAATAAAAAAATGAATTGTCAACCTAATCGATATATCCATCCCTGCACTCTCTCCAACCCCGCAACCACTCGAAAGCTCCTACTACCCTCCATTCTCCCTGACTTTCCCAACACCCCCTCCAAAACTCCCCACCCCCTAGCAGATCAGCACTTGCGTATAAGTACTACCCCTATAGGCTTGAATTGCCCCTGTCGCCGCTCACCCACCCCAGCTCATACATGACCCCTACCATCTCGATCAGAGATTGTGGCAACTACCCCCATGACTACAACCGACGAACAACTCCAGCCCACCCGTACTTTGTTGTCCATACCCCCACCCCTTTCCATACGTGTTTTCACGAGCTCAGCTGGTCTCGGACAAACAAAAACTCGCACCCTACCCCCTGGAGCAATCTCGTGCCAATTATCCACCCCCCAGATCTACCGTAGATACCCATGCATCATCCTGTGATTGTGCCCACCCCTCATACCCACCTCCTCCAGCTCAGTCTGCTGAAGATTCAGACACCCCTGATTTCTGCAATAAAACAAGGCACTGAGTGGGTGGTCTGGGGTACCCCCTGGCATTTATACGGCCACTTGAGCTCGAAGGTAGGCTGATGAGCTCAAGGTGGGTGGTTCTCAAAAGTAATTTTAAATTCGAATGAAAAACAAACTTTTAGAGACTCACGAATGCTGATGGAGGGGGTCATTTGTTATGAGATCGATGGGATATTGTAGGGTGGGTACTCGAGAGGAGTTATTCGTCAATGTTAAGTTCATCCCTGCAGTTCTGGGTGACCCTGCTGATAAGCCTCTAGAAATCGCGGGTGGGGTGGGACGGGGGTGAGTGTTTATGTTTCGGACTTTTGGTGATGTCTCAGAAGGTATGAGGTAAGGCCTTTTCTCCTATAGCTCTACATATGAGAAAATGAAGAGTGTAACCCAAAAGAACAAGCAAGAATCTCCAGCTGTAGGCTCTGGGGGTGGGTGTCCTTGGATCTTTGTGGTTACTGATTGTGGACGAAAATGGGGGGTGGGGTTGGAGTGAGGTGCCCACAAAAGGGGGGTCCTGAGACATATGTCGAGGGGTCAGCGAGTGTAGGGTACTGCTAATTGGACTCAGATGTCATGGATGGAGGGTGGGGAGGCGGGGTGGAGGGGGTTGGAAATGGATAAGCCCGGCCAAGGGGCATTGCGACCCTTCATCCGTGGAGGAAGGGTGGGTGTTTGTAGATGAAAAGGAGGGTAGGGTGATTGGAAGGGGTGTGTCATTTTTGAAATTACAACAAATTTTTAAAAGAGGCGGGAAAAATTGAGAGAGGGATAGGTGAATGACCAAGGCTGACAGAGGGTAGGGTACTCCAGTACCGAATAGTGGCGATAGGTGGACGTGGGGTACAAAATGTTAATTTCAGTTGAGGTGGTAGGGTCAGGGGTAGGGTTCTTGATACACTTGCCCTTTCAGGAAAGTGCGACGGCGCTGCCTCGGTATCAAGTTCATTAGACGCTCAACGCCGGGACTCCCGCACGTCAAGGGGGTACTCGCAGCCGCTGCGGCAGTGCCATGCGGTGGGTGGTGGGGTACTAGGTGGTTGGTCGTCCTCGTACTGAGTTTTTAACTTAACTTTGAGTAAAGAAGGGGTATGGGCTGGAAAGAATAAAATGTTTTAATCAGCATCGCCGAGTCTAGGCTTTTTTTTCAGTAAACGGCCCGGCCCGGCTCACCGGCGGTCGGGGCCCCCGGGCCCCGGTCCAGTCCGCGGTCGCCACTGACCGGTAGCAGTACTACCACGGGTTTACTCAAAGTTAAGTTAAAAATCAGTACTAGTAGCTGCACTGAGGAAGGTGGGGATGAGGGGTCACAGATCGGACATAGTAGTAATTTTCACTTAATTTTGAGTGAAGTTGCTGCTTGACGCTTGGAGAAGGCGATTGAAGGACTGAGCAAAGGCAAGGGAGGCAAGGCGAGGACGACAGGGGAGGAGACACGAGACATGTCGAACAAGATGCCCCGAAGAAAGGACATGAATGTCATGCTGGTGATGGTGTCGGTAGGGATTGCGACGGCTCTGGTCGCCCTTGCGATCAAAGGCAGGACCGGAAGCATTTTGGCAAGTAGGGGAAACCTCGACGAGCAGATGAAGGTATACAAGGAAGCTGAGCGTGCGATAGATCATCAGCAGAAGGTTGCTTGGAAGGTATGGCGTCTGGTTTGCTCCATAGTCGTCTGTGCTGAACGCGCGCACATGACAGGGCTTCAAGAGGGCTCGAGCCAGGGTGGCGCTGGATGTTCGTGATGCTCCGAACCGGCTTGCTGGGTATTCTGTTCCTGGATCGACGTGAGAAACCTCTTCATCTCATTTTTTGCACAATACACAGCAGTGATTGGCAATCTCATGCTCTCTTTCATGGTAGGACACAATCATTCCCTCCCCCGTCGAGTCAAACCAGCGGCCAGGGCGGCTCCAATCGTCTGGCAGGATTTTCAGCCTCTGGCAAGGATGCTAGGTGAGATGGACGTTCAAGTGACGGTAGAGACTGACACTGCCTGTGGGGTCAGCTCGGATGACCTGGGGACAAGCTTGCTGCACCTGTCACAGGTGGATGCGCATGAGATGTTTGCCCTTGTTCGTCCTGTGGCTGCAGATTGTTGCTGTACAACGTCTCGAGGTCGCTTCCCGCTGACCGTGCTGCTCCATGTCAAACAGCTGGACGACTCGATTGGAAGCCAGCCCGTGAAGAAGATCAAGATCAAGATCGACGAGCACAAGAAGCCCAAGGTTCGTGTGCATCGCCGCTTGTGTCCAATGCTGAATGCATGCTCGCTCCTGGCAGGTTGTGCCCGTCAAGTTCAGCAAGGAGACTGTTAATCTCTTCAAGACTCTGGAAGAGCAGGTTGGTTGATGTGCCGCAGCTGGCTGTACCTCTTCTCAGATCTCGTAGGCGCATACTGGTCTGCAGCAGCCCAGGAAAAACGGAAAACTGTATGCCAAGGTAACTGGCTGACTTCTGGACTTGAATTCCCAAGAATTGAGATGTGCGGGCCAGGCTGATTCAATCATGAGCATCAATACTCACCTGCCTCCGAGCAAAGCGTTTGTCGACCTAAAAAAACAGGTATGGATATTCGTTTTGAGCAGGATCCTGCCCAGTTCAAGCCGTAATGTTGAATGTTGTTGTTGCTGCAGGTGGAGGATATTGGATTCGAACAGGATCGCTTTCACTACAACAAATAATTTTCTCATCCACAACAGCCGTCTCGTTCACAGCCACTTCTTTCCCCATCCCACAGCCATCAAACCTTCTTCTCCTCCTAGAACTATTCAACAACAACCCCACCATCACTGAAACTTTTTATCCTGACTCCTTTCTTCGGAATTTTCTATACCTTGGGAACTCAAACTGAAAACTTGTGCTCTATAAATGCGAACTTGATCTTTGTAGCGTCCATTTCAAACCCTTCCCTACGCTCCAGCGTCAAACACTTCCTCCAGTCTCCCGTTCATCCTCATCCTCTCAGACCTGAAGGCCGAAGCAACCCCAACCACCATGTCGGATGCGCCCTGACTGGTGAAGGTGGGATCGCACATAACGGTGACCATGGCCGCTGGTTCCAAGGAGCCCTCAGAGATCATGCCTGCTCCAGAAGCGATGGAAACAGTGAGTTTTGAATCTTGCAGCTGATCGACGGAACAAGTTAGGGAAGGGAGGGCATGTCATAAAGGCAACCTTTGGAGCTGTGTGAGAGTAGATGGACTTGAGCAGGACTGTCCTCGACATCTGTCATGAACGTTGCATGACTTTCACTCATCTCATCGTTGCACACAATATCATCTCTATTACTGACCTGTGACATGGTAAAGGTCGTCACTGCCGCGAAAGGGTATGTTACAATGTGGCGAAAAATATCAGAATCAAGTACCGATGTTGACCAGCAGATTCTTAGACATCGTGCAGCCTTGATTAGAATCTGCAGTCAACAAATCAATCCTTACAGACCTGGACAGGACAATCGCAAACCCGACACAATCAGAGTGAGATCGAGAAAACTCATGGAGCATGCAAGGAATGAATGCTGCGAGAAAGACAGAATGGAAAGCATGGAAAAAGGAATTCTAAACTTGTGAATGTGAAGATGGGTGCGCGAGGAGAAAAAACAAGGCAAGGACAGGGTTAGAGAATTAGAAATGTCATATAGCAATCGATGATAGGAGTAAGATTTAAAGTTGGTAGAATGGTGAGGAAGAAAAGAAAGTAACCGGTGGGTAATCGGAAGAAGGCATCAAGGGGAAAACCGTTGTCATGTTGAGGAAGAGGAGGATCTTTGTATGGAAGGTCAGACATTTGTGAGAGTTGAGCGCTACACCTAGAGTATGAAAAAGAAGGGAGGAGAAGTTGATGGAAGAGGGAGGAGAGGAGAATGATCATGACGACGACGACGACGACGACGACGACGACGACGACGACGACGACGAGGAGGAGGAGGAGGAGGAGGAGGAGCAAGCTCGTCGTTCCGCCTCTTGACATCTCATGGCAGTGAACTCATGGAGGGATTGAGCGATTGAGCGGGGACGAGGGTTTGACAGTGAATGAGGGGGATGATAATGGGGTGATCGCGGGGACGAGGGGGGGTTTTTTTTCTATTTCCAGTGGGTATGAGGGGGATGATCACTTATACCTTGTGAGTATGAGGGGGATGATCACTTATACCGGGAGGGCATGAGGGGGATGATGGGCTCTCAAAAAAAAAAACCTCCTCGTGCTGTGAGCGTGCGAGACAGCGCGATGCTCATCCCCAAGGCGAACCGCGTGAAGATCTACTCCTACCTCTTCCAAGGTCTCCTCCTCCTCCTCCTCCTCCTCCTCCTGCTTTTACTTGTTCTCCTCCTCCTCCTCCTTGTTCTCCTCCTTTCTCTCCCTCTCTCTGTCTCCTCATGTCCTCTTCTTTCTGTGCCTGCGGCTCTTGCCCCTGGGTTCCTCCTTGTCCTGTCTTGATTGCTGTTGCTCGCGCGGTTTTGTTTGCCTGGCACATCAAAAGGGCTCGTTTGAATATTTATCATCTGCTATAGCATCTTTCTAAGATGATTTTGATCGCTGTTATCATCATGTTGTACTGTGTCGTCTACCTGCTCCCCTTGCCAGGCTTCTTGTACAGCTCGTTATTCACGCAGTGTAGCTGTGTTGAGTGTTATGAAAATACGAAGCAGTGAAGATTTACAGTTTGATTGTACGAGAGAATTTCAGACACACTGACATGAGCATCTCTTGGACTTCAATCACATGAATGTCTCTTGTCGAGTGCCTGAGGGCGTAGTCACTCAGCATGCGCAAGGCATATTTTTATGTGGCAGGATGGTAGTTGAAACATCAGCATGATACATGATTCATGTGCATTTGGAGCTTATATTATCTGCATATGTCACTCAACCGATGTTGATGTCCTCGTCATCACCTCCTATCCTACATCACTCTCTGTGTGTCGTTACTGACTGTATCTGACAGAGGGAGTTCTTGTTGCTGCCGATGACAAGAACGCTCGCGCTCACATGGAGGTGTCGGACGTCCCCAACCTTCAGGTCATGAAGCTCATGGAGTCCTTGACGTGAGTGCTTGTGTTGACTTGTAAGTCAGAGGCGCTGACGTTCCTTTAGTTCCCGCGGGTATGTTCGCCACTCCTACACCTGGAAGCACCACTACTGGTTCTTGACCAACGAGGGCATCCAGCATCTCCGTGAATACCTCAACCTTCCCGAGATGATCGTTCCCAACACACACAAGAAGCAGCAGACTCGCACAGCTTCCCGCCCTCTCGGAGGTCTGCCCCCCTCCCCCATTCCCCTCTTCTTCCTCTCTCCTCCTCGTATGCCATGGCAATGTTCCTTGCTGATCTTGACGGCAGGCGAGGAGCGTGGTCCTGGTGGAGGACGTTTTGGATCTGGTCCTGGCGACCGCCCTGGAGGATTTGGACGTGGTCGTGGTGGCGACAGAGAAGGGTTAGACTTGCCTCCTCCTCCTCCTGTCCCTCTTTCCCCTCCTCCCACTGTCTACAGCTGCTGACTCTCAAGCAGATATCGCTCTGGGCCTGGCAAGGAGCCCTCTTCGTTTGGTGACCGCCCTTCCTTCGGGCGTGGTAAGCTGCAATTATTTCTCTCAATCCGTCATGCTTATCTCACTTCTCACTCTCCCTCCTTTCTCCTCCTTCTTGTTCCTGACGCTACGACAGGACGTGATGGTCCTCGCTTCGGCGGCCGTGGGGGAGCACCAACACCTCAATAGTTATACATAGCGAAATTTTTCTCAAATTTGCTCTTAAAAGTTTGGCTGATTCGAAGTCTTGACCCGAAGAGCGTCTGATGTGCGAGCTTGAGGTCCCGAGCACTCAACTCGGAGGTTGACACACATCCCTCGTCTCAGGGAGCAAAGTTGTAGACTAGAGTACATCCTGTCCTGTGGTGAGACCAGTCAAAGATCATGCGCATGCATGAAGAGGTCGCAAGCTTCCCACCTGTCACAGATCTTGTGAGTGTAGCCTTGACTGTCCACGACGCCGATGCTGGGCTGTGAGGAGAGAGTCATCTTGGAGCTGTCGTACTGCAGGTTCATCTCCCCGTCTGTGATCCGTCCGACAACTTCCTTCCTGCCCTTCTCTGAGCTCATGTGCACCCCATGCGCTTGCAGGAAGCTCCCCTTGCTGGACGGCAACGTGAGAAGTAGCGACGTGAGACTGATCAGAGGAGGATGGAACAAGTGGAAGTTGATGTGAGGCAGAGGAGAGGAGGGAGAGGAGGGAGAGGAGGGAGAGGAGGGAGAGGAGGGAGAGGAGGGAGAGGAGGGAGAGGAGGGAGAGGAGGGAGCAACTTGGATGAGAGAAGAGAGAAGGAGCGACCTCAGGACATGGTGGAAGGGCCCCCTCCCTTCGGAGAGGCAGGAGTCACTGTCGATGAAGGAGTTGAGAACAGCCTCGCTCGTCACTCCCTCCTGCACATCAGCTCGCTTCCTCGATGGCTGAACGAGATCACTCCAGTGGACGGGGATCAGGAGCCTCCCTGGAGCAGAGAGCCTGCTGATAGGATACACCATCCCAGGCTCCTCCTCCCGCAGGAGCTGATCCATTCTGTCCGCTGCCTCCTCCTCCGTCAGAGAGCTCCAGTCACGCAGCGCTGCCTCGATCCTCTCACGGAAGCTTCTCTTGGAGTGTAGGCCGCTCATGTGGTCGACGAGGAGGCCCTTGTAGAAGAAGTGAACTGTCGGCACCCCGTAGAGCCCGACCTGCTTGATGACCTGCTTGTTCTCCATCACCTGTGCGTGCTGGATCAGCGTCTGCAGAAGACAGCAAGGAGGAGGAGGGAGATCAGAGGAAGATCGTCGAGGGGAGGAAAAAAACAGGCAAGTAGCAACGAGGGCAGAGACAACAGGGAGGGGAGGAAAGAAAAAGGGTGTACCACAAGGACTAGGAGGACAGGGAGGAAAGGAGAAATACTGAGAGCGGGTACCTCAACATCCACGTAGTGAAGTTTTCCTTGGAAGTTCTGGATGACTTGGTCGAGGAGGGGCTAGGATGCAAGCGTCAACGCGGCATCGAGGGGGAGAGTGTCGAGACGACCTGCAGTACCATGCACATGGAGCACTTGGACTTGTAGTACTTGACCACGACAAGCTCTGTCATGCCGTCAAGACAAGTTGCTCATGGGAGCGGGAGCAAGAGCAAGAGCAGCAGGAGCAGGAGCGGGAGCAGGAGCAGGAGCAGGAGCAGGAGCAGGAGCAGGAGCAGGAGCAGGAGCAGGAGCAGGAGCAGGAGCAGGAGCTCACTTGACGAACGATGGTACAGAGCCCTGAGGTCGCCTCCTCCACTGAAGCAAGTCTTCTCCATGCTGAGGTCCAGGGTCGAGTTCACATCCGGAAAGATCCCGAACTGCTCGACTCTGATCTTGCTCACGTCGAAGAGAACTTTAGGTTTCTCACTCGCGCACGTCACCCGTTGACGACGAGCTCCGATCCGCGTCAGTCTGCAGCCGATGAAGCTTGACTGGATGCCTGCTGACCCTCTCCCATCCGTGGACGCCGACGTCATGGATGGTAGCGCGGAGACAGCGCACATGGCGAGGAGAGTCTGGAGCAGAACAGGCAGCATCTTACATCTCTTGGCTACCCTGACGCGGTTGCTCACGATCTTGACCTGGATCTGCGTTCCTGTCCAACGGCAGGTCAAAACTTGTCATGCGCTACGATGAGGACCCTGAGGTGTCTCAATGACTTCTCAAGCTTCTTCCTTGCTTTCCTCGCTTCTCCTCACCCCCGCTGACTTCCCCTCCCATCCTCTTCTCATCTGGCATGTATATCTCATCGAGCATGCCCACAACAACCGCTGATCGCCTCCTCCCCTCTCCTCCTCCCCTCTCCTCCTCCTCCTCCTCTCCCTCTCTTCCTCTCTCCCTCCCTCCCTCCTCTCCCATCCCCCCTCCTTTCCTCCCCGCCATCCCCGTCATTGGGGCGCAAAGAACCAAATGCGCCTCCTCGGCTTTGCCAGCATCGGGTCCACGATTGTAGTCGTGAGGGTGGGGAGGAGTGGGGGGAAGCGGAGGGAGCGAGGGAGCGAGGGAGGAAGAGAGGGAGAGGAGGGAGGGAGGGAGGGAGGGAGGGAAGGGAAGGGAAGGGAAGGGAAGGGAAGGGAAGGGAAGGGAAGGGAAGGGAAGGGAAGGGAAGGGAAGGGAAGGGAAGGGAAGGGGAGGGAAATCAATGTTTAACTTGTTCCCATTCATTCAGAGCGAAGGTTGTGTCAAACAAGAACCCAAGTCTTTCAAGGAACGTTGAGGCAGATCAAAGTTGCGGCTCAGAGCAAGGAGGAGGGAAAGCGCACAGAGCAGGGAGGGGAGGGGAGGGAGGGGAGGGCGAAACACCACTAGAGGAAGATAGAACGAGGGGATATCAGAGAGTGGAGTACTCGAAGACACTAGTGTTGGCCAATCGTGTCTTGATCAGCCAAACTTTCCATCCGTATATGCACCACCTGCTCTATTCAGGTCAACCAGTCTGCCACAGCAACGCTCGTCTCCCCATCACAAACCTCGGCTGGTCGAGGAACGTCTGCCAGACAGGAGCTCCCTGTATCGTCACCACATCGCCAGCTCTGTGGGAGGTCAGAGGACGCGGAGGATGTAGAGGAGGTAGAGTGTGGAAGAGGTAGAGGAGGTAGAGGAGGTAGAGTGAGGAAGAGGAAGAGGAGGTAGAGGAGATAGAGTGTGGAAGAGGAAGAGGGGGCAGAGTGGAAGGAGAGGACGGGGACCGGTAGCAGGAGATACGAGAGAAGAAGTCGTGGTCAGGGTCCTCATGCATCTGTGAAGAGGAGGTGAGCAGAGAGTGACGGGAGGAGGAGGAGGAGGAGGAGGAGGAGGAGGAGGAGGAGGAGGGAGCAGCAGCAGGATGAGAAGCCTTACCCTCCTTGAGAAGATGACCTTGAGAGAGCTTGTAGCTTCTCCTCCTCCCTCGTCCCTGGGGAACGCTCCTCGTCAGACGATCGGGCTCGAGCATCACAGAGTCTCTTACAAGTCCTGCAAGATCATCTCGGTGGGCAGGCGCTTCGACTTGTAGAGGCAAGAGGAGATGACGCCCGTGACTGTCCACGCGCGGAGGAAGGGATCCGACAGGAGGAGGTTGGGAGAAGCCCGTATCCTCCTTACAGTCTCCATCCCCTCCCTGATGAGTCGCTCATCGTCCTCGTCAGGATCGTACCCGCTCTTGTACAGGTCCACGTTGTAAAACTCTGACCTCCCTTTCATCTTCAGCCTGTCCACCTGCTCTAGAGCAGACGCCAGCGCGTGCATGCACGACTCAACAGGCTGCCAGCAGACCGACGAGCTGAGGAACTCGACGACTGACAGCGAGTTCTTGACGCACTCCGCGCACGTGACAGAGCTGAGCTCGTCCTCGGTCTCGCACCTCAGGAAGGCTCGGAGGTTGATCCGCTTGTTGATGTTCTCCTTGTCTACTAGAGTCGCACTCACCCTTCGCTTCCCTTTGTCCTTGTCTGGGCAGACGAGCATCAGCCTCCTCCCTCCTTCCCCTCCTTCTTCCCTCCCCTCCTTCCTCCATCACCGAGAATGACCTGCCGCAGCTTTCGTTGGTGCTTGAACCAAACTCGGACGACCTTGCCAGTACTCTCAAAGGAGCGAGCAGGACAGCGAGCTCACCTGGACCGGAGCTCCGACCTGTTGAGCGAAGTCCGCCAGGTCTCTCGGGCGGTTCAAGTGGGGGCATCTGCCCAGCTGGCATCAGAGGAGCAACTCCGGCGCTCTCGTCCACCTATCAAACTCCTGCTCGAGCTGAGCGATCTGCGAGTCGCTGAGCTCCACTGAGCGTCGAGTCTCGGCGTTGTCGCTGGTGTTTGAAACGTTGCCAGCAGAGGAAGGATCTGTGGAGTGCGTCAGCCGGCGCCGACCGCTAGGGCCTCTTGCTTGCCTGGCTGTGGAGGAGCGTTGAGAGGAGGAGAAACCTCTTCGAACTGATAGAGCGCGGAGGGGAGCGGGTGCGAAGGCCTGGTGAACTCTTGGTCCCCCATGGACTGCATGATCGATAGACACCCAGCTCTGTCCGAGCTGGAGCGAGTCTTGTCAAGGGCAAGGACGGACAAGTCGCTGCGAACCTCCAGATACGAATGTCGTTCATGCTGGAGAGCATGCAAGGGTCCTTGAGGCAGACAACCTGCCAGGGCAGGGATGTGAGCGTGAGAGGAGGGAGGCGGGAAGGATCAGAGGCCTCACGGGAGGGACATTCTCGATGTGCTCTTGATGCTTGAACCACTTGCAGCAGGGGGAGGTCACTACTCCGACGAGCTCCTGCGGTGCAACTTGGCGTGAGCGACGGGGACGCGACAAGCCATAGCCTTCACCGAGTGCTCGATGCTCTCTAACACCTGTCAACCAGCAGCAAGCGCGCATGTGAGGTCGCAGGCAAGAGAGCCTCCAACCGCTCACTGACCTCTGCTAGCGAGCAATGGCAGTGTACCATGATCAGGACCATCCTCTTCACCTTGAGTCGAACTTGTTGGATCCTGTACGGTAGCAGCTGCACGCGCTCTATCGAGGTCCAGGGGTGCTTGACAGAGTCGTCACCAACCTTGACAGTGAGAAAGTCCTTGTAGTCTCTCGTTCTGTCTGAAGGAGCGAAGGTTTCCGCACAGCTCGGCTTGAGCATGGGATCTATGGCGATGCATCTCCCCGCTCGAGTCAGATGAGCGAAGATCGCAGCAGTGCGAGGCGTCGTGCCATCTCCAACAAAGACGTAGGCGTCAGAAGAATCGAAATCCGCGCATTGAACCGAGAGGAGGCGTCGGAATGCTGTGTATACAGCCATGCTCTCAGTGATCTCCTTCGCATTGGGGAACAGCTTCAGGGCAATCAGGGACGGGGCGCACTCGAGCTTCAAGAACTCGTCGACATACTTGAGTTTGCTCTCTTGTCGGTTCTGATGCATGCTCCTAGAAGAAAGGTTCTTGGCTGGTGAAGATGAGGATATTGGGCTTGTAGTGCAGCCCTCCTCTTCGATCTTCTCCTCTGAATCCTGGATTTCTCCTTCCTCTCCCTCTTTCTCTCGTTCTCTCTCTCTCCCTCTCTCCCCCTCTCTCTCTCTCTCTCTCTCTCTCTCTCCCTCTCTCCCTCCCTCTCTCTCTCCTTCTTCTTCCTCTTGCCGCTGACCAGGTTCTCTACCGAACCATGTCCAGTGATGCGTCCATTTCCGCGTCCATTTCGCCTGGTCTGAGGGGGGATGTACCATTACTTCACTTTGTCACCCCCACCCCCCTTTTGAACTAGAAATCTACCCCTGTTGTTCGGTCCGGAAGCATAATTCGTACCCACCTAGTTCTCTGGGGGTATTTCCTAGGACCACCCTAGCGCCCTGCCCCATCATCATGGCTGGGAGAAGGTCCTGGGTGAGCGATCGCCGCGGCGGCGGCATGGAGGAGGAGGGGGAGGAGGAGGTAGAGGAGAGCGCCATGCTCGAACCGCTAGGGCAGTCAAGGTATGTGAGCATGCTGATGGACGCACTGCTGGTGGTGTGGGAGGGGGTGGTAGAGGTACTCCAGGATCCTGAATAGTTGGCAGGGGAACGGGAAGGCGCCTACGAGCTGGAGCGAAGAGGAGGAGGTGAGAAAGACAGTCGATGCTCCTCCTCTCACATGGCACATGCCATGTCGACGTCTCGTCCTTGCTTCCTTTGTGTCCTGAGCTCCTCCCACATCGCCTCGTGTTGTTCTACGCGTACAGTCTTGTCCTTTGTGGTGGATCTGCTCTCTTTCGTTCTCCTGCCCAGCTTCCCCATCCTCCCTTGCCCGATGCTGGTGTGCTCTCTTGAACATCCACTGCAGGAACCTGTACATAGCCGTGGGGAGCTTCAGCTTCTTCATCATGTTGTACATTATCGTCGCCTCGGTCGCGTCGTCGGGCTGGGAGGCGGCAAACAGCATGTGTCAGGTGAGATGGCTGCTCGGCTCGTTCAAGGTGTCAAGACGCTTCTTTCAGCGACTGGGGGGGGATATGACGCCCGAGAACCGCATGGAGGACTGGGTCCCGTTCATATCTGCAGTGAGCAAGATATACCTACAGTGAGAGGTTCAAGCAGGGGGAGCTGTTGTTGACCCGATGCAAGGTTGGGGAGGAGCAAGCTTCCAGATGTGAACCTGCTGGATGTCGCCAAGAAGTGCGCAGGTCCTCCCTCCCTCCCTTCCCCCCCCCCCCCCCTTTTGTCCTCCCCATCCACGAATTCTTTTGCTCTCGTCATCTCTCACTTGTCTATCTTACTGTCGCCGCTCAACAGCATCGGGGTGGAAGGATGACTGCGGCAAGGAGGTCTTCTCCTCCCATCGAAATCTTCATCAGACTGTGGAACACGTGCTACCTCTTACCTCTCTCCTCTCTCCATGCCTGAACCATACTTGCAAAATGGCAGATCGAGCGGGAGAGAGAGCTCTTGCGAACTGAGTTTGACAAAGTGAGGCTACCTGCTCATCCTCCTCCTCCTCCTCCTCCTCCTCCTCCTCCTCCTCCTCCTCCTCCTCCTCCTCCTCCTCCTCCTCCTCCTCCTCCTCCTCCTTCCTCCTCCTCCAGCGACCATCCTGACTTTGCTCTCACAAGCATGCCGCTCGTTGGCGTCCCGTCGGTCAGGTAGAGGGTCACAGCGAGGTTTCTCCTCGTGACTGTCCTGCAGGAGCTGAGACTCCCTGCCGGGTTTTCATTGGAATACAAGAAGGTAATGGAGGAGCAGCAGCAGCAGCAGGAGGAGGAGGAGGAGAGGAGCAGGAGCAGGAGCAGGAGCAGGAGCAGGAGCAGGAGCAGGAGCAGGAGGAGGTAGTGGTGGTGGTGGATCAGTAGAAGGAAGAGGGGGAAATGGCGGGAAGGAGCAGGTGACTCATGAGTGAGCAGGCGATGGCAAGAGCAGAGCTGCAAGTCTGTCAGATGCCTCCCACTGATGATGACTGTGTCCGAGTGAGCTCCTCCTCGATTCTATCCTTCCCTCCGTCCCTCCCTCCGTCCCTCCCTCCCTCCCTCCCTCCGTCCCTCCCTCCTCCCTCCCTCCCTCCCTCTCTTCTATGATTTCACGTGGTCAATTTGCATGTCTGCAGGCAAGAGAGGAAGAGATCCAGGCGATCAAAGTTCTTCATGCTGAGGTCTCACCTCTACCTCCCCCTCCAACACCTCCTGCAGTTCCAGCTTCTCTCCCTCCCTTTCTTCCCCCGCCTCCCCCCTCCTCCTC